GTGCGCCGCCCGACAGTAAACGGAAGTGACGCAATGCAAGATTGTCTACTCAGCTTCTTTCCTCCGCCCCACGACTAGACTGCAGCCAATTAGCAAATGGGAGGGTGGGCCCCAGGTCAGGAGTGCAGCCAGCCAACGCGCGGAATCCGGAGGAATGTCTTCGACCCGAAAAATCTGACCAATCCGTGGTCCCAGGCGCCTCACTATGTTTACTACCGACAGAATCCGTGAGCGCCCTGGCCAATCACCGCTTGCCTTACAATTCGTAAACCTGTTATGAAACGCCTTTTAGGGCGGAGGTTTGGACTATAGAAAAAGCTGTTGTGTCTCTGTTACAACCAATCAAAATCCGTGGTGGTTGAGGCAACGCGAGCTTTCCGCCTAATTTCGCCAATCACAATCACTATTGCCTGGGGTCTGGACGCGCCCTTGAGGCGGGCCCTTAGGCTAATACGTCCTGCCATTGGCTGGTCCTAGATTTCCCCACCTTGCGGCGTTCGGCCTTTGAATGACCCAATGCTCCCTCCCTGAAGTTCCCTTATTGGACCCTGCACTCGTGCCGGTCGAATGTTGCGTTTCCAATTCATACGTTGGAAAAGGTAAAATTTCAAGAAGCTGTTTTGGTTTAATTACGCCAAACTCCGGCCAAAAGCGATGAACAGAAAACTCCTGTTTCCGCTGGAACCTGCCCCAAATCCAGCAGGCTAGCGGCGTCTGAAAACTCTGGCGTCTGAGGAGTCCGGCTGACTGATCCCCCTCCCGAGTCTGGCGCTTGACTCCGCATCTGGTGCTATTGATCAAAATAAGTCTCCAGACCCAGGTTTATCATCGCCTACCGCCCCCCCTCAAATAAAAAAATTGGAAGTGCGAAGCTCTGTCAAGGAGGTCACCAACGTGGAAAGATCGCAGACTTCGGTGGGACGCGGTCGAAAAGCAGCCAGCCCGAGGCGGCGCCAGGCCTCCCGGAGCACGCTCTGACGGAGAACCTGAGCCCCGAGAGGGGTCGGCCCTCGAGACTCGGAGGACGCCGGGCCTTGGAGCCAGGGAAGATGCCTTCCTTCCTTCCTCTGGGAAAGACGGGAGGAACTTTCTTCTGCTGGAGCTCTTCGTGGCTCGGGAGACAAAGGCGAGCGTGACCGGGTTCTTTGGGGACGGGGAGAGGGGGAGAAGATAGGGAAGAAGGGAAAAGACTCCTAGTTCTTCAGAACCTAACACCAAGTATTACAGATGATTCCATCCGGTAAGATGTTAGGGGTTGGAAATATTGCCCTGGTCAATTCTGTTCATTAGAATGCACTGATTGTTTATAGCCCTTTCACATTTTTAAATGCTCGATTGGGCAGTAAAGATAATGCGCGTTACCGAACAGAAATCGAGTTTGCTCTCCCAAACACTGCAAACCAAACTAGGCAGTGATGTGATGAAGGAAAAAGCAGCTTTATTGTAATGTTGGAAGCAAGGAGATCAGGCACGGTGTGCTGAAAAGACCTGGTCTCTCTGAGGAGTTACAGGAGTTTTTTAAGGACAAAAATAAGGGTAGGGGGTCCTAGGTACATGATCAGGTCAACGGTTGGTTCAGGAGGGCATGATCATCTGGTGGGCCTTCTTGATAGTCCCATTTCTGTTCTGGGAGAAGGCAGTCGGGTTTCTGGCACCACTCTGTCAGGGGTCTTTGTGCTCACAGCCTGCAGTTTTCATCCTGTAAGACATCTTAAGTATTGAAGTTGAAACCTTGTCTTGGGGAGCTTAGGGGGCAGGGCTTCCACATGTCCCCTTCCTACCCCAGTTCCTGTCCCAGACCTGGCAACTTGCTTTCTCACTCACACCACCCACCCACCCACCCACACACACACACACACACACATACCCGCCCCAAACACACATGTCCTGTAGCAAATTTTTAAAAATAATTACAATAAATGAAATAATTGTTTTTTTGTTTCTAAAGCCTTATTTGGGGCCAGCTGGTGGTGATGTGGTTGAGACAGCTGGATTCCACACAGGCTGACTTTGCTGAGTCTGGGACTCCACAGCTTGAGAAACATGCCTCTGGAGCATGAATGCATGGCCAAAATCCCAAGAAGAGGAGAATGGAAAGAAGGGATTGCAGCATGACCATGGGAGTGGAGGGTGTTCTCTCTTTTTCTCTGGCTAGCTGTATAGCAAAATTACAAAACAACAGCAAACCCCTCTTTCCTTTAAGTGGGAGTTGTACAATAGAAGTCTTATGATCCTCATTCATGACCAATGTTGATTGATTACCAAAACCAAAGTCTGAAGTCTTATCCCTTGCTTTGAGCCATTACAATATAAATGAATTGTGTAGGCCAAACTTCTTTTAGAAAAGACATTTTGTTTTTAGTTCAGCCCTCATTCATTTTCACTTTGGGCAATATGGTGAGACCCAGGCCAAAGAAGCTGAACATGGAGTACACAGCAGGAAGATCATGACACAACAAGACCCTGTCTAAAACACCACACACATAGTAGCACACCCCACAAAATAACTACAACTGCCATACATTTCTGAGAGATTTACAGTCGGAAAGGAGACAGGGTACTCACACCTGTATGAGAAATTACTTAATCAAAACTTTCTGTAATGGACTAGCAGATGGTGCGGTAGTTAAGGTGGCTGGATTGCACATGGCCCACTGCACAGTTGAAGTCCCAGCCTGGCAGCTTGGAAAACATGCTGAGAGCATAAGTGGCCAAAATCTTGAGAGGAGACTGGAGAAAGGATTGCCATGTGCCCATCCCCTCAGAGGGATGCTTTCTCAGTTTCCCTGTCTCATTCTTCCTCTATCTGGCAATCACATGCAACCTATAGCAAATTAAAAAGAACAACTTTCTGTACCTTCCCCTTATTTCTCATTAATCTCCTGTTTATTATCCTCTGACATCCTAAGCTCTTTTTT